CTTCTCCCACTCCCCCTGCTTGTGTTCCCTCTCTCACTGTGTCTCTCTCTGTCAAATAAATAAATAAAATCTTCAAAAAAAAAAAGAAAAGAAAAATCGTCAAAGAACATGAACTAGTAATTCACAACCAAAGAAGCCCCAAATTCTAACAAGCATATGAAGAAATGCTCTTACTAGGAACCAGAGAATTGCAAATTAAATCAACAATGTGATATCACTTTACATCTATCAGACTAGCATGGTTTAGAAAGGAGGATACAAGGAGGTAGGTGGAACATCATTCTGAAAGGTCATCAGACAGAACTCCATCAAATTAATTATGTGTATCTCCTATGACCCAGCAGTGCAACTCCCTAGTGTTTGGTCTGGAGAAATCCAGAAGATATTTATGGGAATGTTCATCACTTCACTGATTAGGTCCAGGGACCCTGGAGGCAACGCATATGCCAATCACTGGGCGGGGGGGATGGATAATGAAGACATGCTAGATGCATACACTAGGGAATACCATGAGCAATTAGGGAAAGACACATAACAACATGGACAGAGCATAAATACATATAACTGAATGAAAAAAAAATAGAACCAGCATAATATCTAAGTACAATCGTATTACCTGCACATAAAATAATAGACCGTGTTTTATACAGCAATGGCAGGAGTGAGCCTGGGGAATGGGGAAAAAAGAGATTAGGTTGACCTATCCATCAGTCAAGCTGGCACACTAATACGGACCAGGAGCACCTTTAGCCATGAACTGAGGAGTGTGATGACTCAGTCCTCTGAACCTGAGGTCATGCAACGATCGTATTGGCTGGGCCTTCAAATCTCAAGGCGGGCATCCTTGGGCAAGAGGACTCACCTCTCTGAGATCGGCAATCCTGCACAGCAGGGCTGTTACAAGGCTCCAGGGTGATCTGTGTAGGGGACTCAGTTCACAGCTTGGCACATAGTAGGTGCTTCTTCAGTGGACAAGGTGCAGAGTATCTTCTGGAGCCAAAAAGCTGGCTCTGAGGTTTAGTTCCTGTGTGGCTTTGGCAAGTTACTCAACCCCTCTCTGCCTGAGCCTCATTATCAGCTACGTGGGAATAAGAAAAGCTCTGCCTGGCGGGGCTATCATGAGGATTCGCTGAGTTAATCTATGTGAAATGCTTAGAATGGCGCCTGCCATGTACTCAGTCCTCAATGGGCATTTGCTTTTATTTTTATTATTCAACTCATTATGAAAAGAGGGACTGTGTCCTCATGGGGTTTCTTCCCAAAGTGAGAAGCTATACTTTCATGAATCTAGGAAATGCCTGTACTATGCTCAACAGATGGAACAGTGTGACTCAGCAGGAGAGGGTGAATTACTGAGTGGATTTTTTCTCATCTGTCATTCCAGAAACCCAAGTGAGATGGTCAGTGCTTCTGAAAGATGCCTCGGCCGCGTGGCTGGGAGGCAGGGAGGCGGGGCACCATGGGGTGGGGCAGGAGGAGCTGTCCTGACTCGGCAGGTGTGTGCACCTGACCGTGGGCCAGCCCCGCCCACGCCCCCTTCCACTGGACCGGACAGAACCTTGGGGTCTCCACCTCAGGCCCTGGAGAAAGGCCTCATCCCCCATTGCTGGGGGCATCCAGAGTGTCTCACTGTCATATGGGAATGATTTAGGACTCGATTGCAGGGTTCTTGGGGCAGGAGCAGGCTAAGATTTCCATAAACACGAGTACTGAGCCATTTATGGGTTTTACTAGAAATTTTATTGGCGTTTGGTCGTGTTGGCATTGTGTGTGCCTTCACAGGTAAATTAGATTACTGGCAGTGGATTCAATTTAGCGGTAAAAATGTAAAGGGAGAGGAATCGGGCTGCAGATGAAACAATGCAGTGACTGTTCTTGGGTCGACAGACGGTGAAATCACCAAGGGGGCGTGCGCGCTGAGAGGGGGTGACGTGGGGGACCAGGATGCAGCGCTGTATCCCCACCGCCGGGACATCCTACGCACTTTGCCCCAACGGCCGCCTGTGTTTTCTGTCCTGGAAGGTGCCAGGCTCAGCCATCCCTATACACATGAGCAACACACTGCACAGACTTTTGAGGAAATACAGTAACTGCAAATTTGGGACGAGGTCTGCACATGGAGGGGCCGAGAAAGCTTAGCTGACAAACAGCCCCACCCGCAGCTGATGTGTCCTGAGCTCTTAACCGCGTGCCACGCACTCTGTGCAACTCTGCATGGCCATCCTTGAGGGAGGTGCAAATAATAGCTCCATCTTGCAGATGAGGAAATCGAGACAGGCTGGGGGGGAGTGATTTGCCCCAGATGACCCAGCTAGTACGTGACACGGCTGGGACTCGAACTGTGAGCCTATGCATCTCACCAATGACATTTCAGTGTTCCCAGGAAAGTGCCTGTGTCCTTTTCATATGGGCTCGTGTGTGTGTGTGTTACCCAATTGGGGGGTTTGGGTGGGGAGCCGAGTTGTGGGGGTCTTCGCTGCAGGCCCACACAGAAGGTGGGGGGCATCATGGTAGAGCCAGAGCGTCTGACCCCGAGAGGGGGGCTGTGGGTTCCCAACGAGCCACAGGCTTGCATGGTGACCTCAGGTAGGCCAGCTCAGCAATCTGGGCCTGCTAGAAAGGTGGGGGGAGGTGCCGTTTCTGAAGGCGGGGAATTGTATCAAATGTAGGGATCCTATAAGAGAACCAGGGTCCTCCTTCCTGTGCTTCCTCCCTTTGGGGGCCCCTCTCTGCTCCATCAGCAGGGACACGCCGCAGTCTCTGTTCTAGTTCCTCTGGATTAATTCCTAGCTGGTGATGAGTGAATTGAATAAACTGAGCCCATGGAGCGAGGCATAAGGATGCACCGGGGCTCCACGATGCTGGCATGCTCCTGGGGTTTGGGGCCAGTGGCTGGATGGCCCCATATGCATCGCCAGCCGGCTACCCAGGCCAGACCACGAAGTCATCTGCCCCCCTCCCTGGGTCCCCTCCACAGCCTGAGCTCTGTGCAGCCGCCCCCTTCCTCCCTTTGTCCATCCCCCTCTGGCTCAGCTGGATTCCTGGGACCAGCTCCTGACAGGACCAGGCTGGTGGAAATGAGGGAACTGGGCTATGCAGGGGGCAGAGCACCGGGAGCCAAGGGGGCCTGGGGAGGCCCTGGGAGGTCTCTATGGGACACATGGGGCGTGTCCCAGGGGTGAGGCTGGAGGGGCCAGCTGTGGCCAGGTCACTGTCAACTCCCCTAACAACGGGCAGAGGTGTGTGACACGGAGATTGAGCAGCCAGGGGAGTCCTCTCTGAGGGGGTGCTGTTGAAAACATGACCCGCGTGACAAGAAGGTGCATGTTTATCTTTGTATATCTGTGCATGCATAGATTCTATTAGACACTGGGCTAAAGACTTATCTTCATGAGGATCCAGCAATGTAGGTATTATCCCCACTTCACTGAAGAAGACACTGAGGTTCAGGGTGGTGCAGTGACATACCTCAGTTCACACAGGACTGCAAAGCCTCAGCCGGGGAAGCCTGAGGATACCCGAGGAGTTACCTATCCGTGAGAGTGTGGGCTTCCTGAGGGCAGGGTCTGGGTCATCGCCCTCTCCCCAGTACTGAACAGACGGCGGGTGTGACCATGAAGGTTATGACCCAACTTAAGCTGAAAGAGAACCAATATGTGGCTACTTATAAATCCATGGAGCTTTCCAAAGATGTGGCTTGGGGATCCAGTGCCCTGAGGCCAAGTTCTCTCTAACGGTAGACTTCAGACAAGCTCATGGGAGCAGTGTTCGCAGGCAGAAATCCTTGCCAGAACCTCCCAAACACCTCAAATCACCTCCCTTGTGTGGCCTTCATTCCCAGTGGGAAAGAGTGACCGCCCTGTTTATGAAATGGTTGTGTCCAAAGGCCACAGCTGGTTGGTGTGCAGCAGACCTAGAAATCCGGGTTAGGGTCCCGGCTCTATCACAGATGGTCACATGACACTGTTTGACTCATTTTCCCACTGGGTTCCTAAATTAACTTCCTTGTGCCAAGGAGGCTTACATGTCCAGACCCCTTGGGGTGACACCTGAGATGAAGCTAACAGGGAAGCAGGAGAAGTGTTCAAACCCTAGGATAGGACCAGCTATAGGATTTGCAGGGCTCAGGGAGGAGAAAAATGCAGGCTCCTTAATCAGAATTTCAAGATGACAGAGCAGTGTACTAAGCCAGTTGTGGGGTCTTTCCGAGTGTGGGCTGTGTGTGTTGTCCAAGAATCTGCCCAAGGAGACTGTCCTCAGAGAGGTCCCTAGAGGTCGCCTCTCAGTGTCAGGCAGTGACTCGGTTTCCAGCTGGTTAGGCTGGGTCATTCCAAAAACCAACATTCCAAAGGATGAGAGGTGGTTTTAGCCCTGAGTGGTTTGGAGAACAAAACTCTTTAGTGGTTAAAGAAGAAATGATGTAAAGATGAACCTCCTTCGGCATTTTCCTTACTGGTGGCTGAGGCAAAATCCCACCGTGAATCCATGTGAACTCGCTGCTGCATCTGGGGCTCGGGTCCTACCTCAGGCTCTTCCTGCCCTGCGATCTTGGCCAAACTACTTCCCTCCCCAGGCCTCAGCTTTCTTCTGGGCAACTGGTGGGGTAGGGGTCGCTGGGGGTGGGCCCGGTTATCCTCTCCCACCCCAAAGAACCCCCCCATCCTCAAAGTCTGTCCTAGACTGGTGTGGTTATCAATACACCAATTCATGTAAAATTCTCATTAAATTCATTAAAGCTTTTGGGGCGCCTGGGTGGCTCAGTTGGTTAAGCGACTGCCTTCGCCTCAGGTCATGATCCCGGAGTCCCGGGATCGAGTCCCGCATCGGGCTCCCTGCTCAGCGGGAGCCTGCTTCTCCCTCAGACCCTCTCCCCTCTCATGTGCTCTCTCTCTCTCGTTCTCTCTGTCTCAAATAAATAAATAAATAAATAAATAAATAAATAAATAAATAAATAATCTTTAAATTCATTAAAGCTTTTTATTATTTTTTTCCCCAACCAGTGCCCCAGGTGGGAGTTCACGACATTTTCAAGATTAAAAAGGCATCAAAGTAATCCTGAATGTGAGTGTGGAAAACCTCGGGAAACCATCCGGCTGGGATTAGCCAGATGATTTCAGGTTTCCTCACAAGGCAAACACTATGGAGCAGCCAAAAATGCTGTCAGAGCAGAACGAATGGCACAGAGAGATGCTAAGGATGTACGGGTGAATACAAAAATAGAAGAGGTTGAAAATGGCGTGGATGACGTAATTCTGTCTTGAGAAGAAAACATGGATATAACATTTATAAATGTCCATTATATGTAGCAATAAAGGTTAAGCCCCAGACATTAAGCATGACTATTTCTGGGTGGTGGGATTTTGTGTTTTTCATTTTTTTTTCTTCTTTCTCTTATCTATATGTTACCTTAATTTTTCACCATAAACATGTGTTACTTCTGTCATGAGTAACAATGATCAGATTATTTTGTTTGAGAGGCTGAGCGCCCTGAGATTCCTGCATCTCAGCTTCAACCTTGGGCTGTTTTGGCTTCTGACCTGCTTTCGGACTGGATAGAGGGGGGGCTGGGGGAACTCTCCACGGGGGGGGAGGTGGTCTGTTAAATAGCTTGATCTCTTTTATGGGGTTCTTGTACACACCTCGGCTTGTCTCGATGGCCCCCTCGTCACTTGCAGGGCACCTGCCTCTCAAGCCTTGCGGCTGGACACGCTCCAGCCACCGGCCCCCAGGCCCCAGGCTCTGGGACAGCTCCGGGTCGGGGGCAGCCTGGCCTCCCCACCGGGCCCTCCACCTGAAAGAGATTAGCTGGGACCACCAGAAGCCTGCAAGCCTAATCGCAGGGATTTTGTTTCTTGTTTCCTCGGACGGGTTTCTCCAGGTGTTTCAAGTGATTAGCCAGGACCCATGCGGCCGGTCACTGTGCCACCATTGTGTCCCCAGCGCTGTTTCCCTGCCACGTGGCCTTTGGGATGACCTCAAATAAAAACAGCAAGAGCAGACTGCCAAGTGGCTGGACCATTTATGTGAGGGATGTGGGACAACGGGGAACACACCCAGAAGGCTTTATAGCTCCACCTCGGGCCCCAGCAATGGGGGCTCCCTGGCTCCCAGGTGCCTCACTGGCCTCCTTTATGGGGGACACCTCAATGACGCAGGCCTGGCTTCGGGAGGCTTTTTTCTTTTGGTGGGGTTGGTTTTGCTTTCCTGCTGGGATGGCCTCAGTAAATCCCCCTGATTGCCACTGAGCGGTGAATGAGATGGTCTGTTGCACAGACAGCTGGCCTCCAATCCAGCAGATAAAGAGGGATGCCTTCCCCAGCGTCTTGGGTTTCTCACGCCGCCTCTTCCCTGGGTATGGATTACACTGTTTTCTCGTAAACATGCCCCCCATGCCCCCACCACCCCCAGCGAAGGCTTCTTCTGAGCAGCGGAAGAGACCCAGAAAACCTCAAACAGAAATGGGGGTGGGGGTGGGAGGAAGGTCCAGCCCAGGTCCCCCTCTGCCCTGGAATCTGGGGTTTTTCTGTCTTCACAATTGGACGGGGTTTCAAGAAGCAGTAAATACAGAAAGGGAGACAGAAGAAAAGGCAAAAGGCAGGGTGGAGGCACTTGGAGTCATCCCTTGGCTTTCAACCCACACCCACCTCCTTTTCTTGCCAGAGCTGGTTGGAGGCTTAGGGAGCCCACAGATCCTGGAGCCCTCAAACCGAGCCTCATGAGCAGGCTTCTGGGGGCTAAGCAATGCTCAGACCATGGGAAGAATCTTTCTCTGACTGTGTTCACGGCTTCCCTTGGATTCTCAAAGGCCTGTGACTCCATGAGAGTTCAGAATCATTGACTTAGTTCAACCTCATCTTATATATGGAGAAACTGAGGCGGGGGGGGGCAGGTGACCATCCCCTGGTGACTAAGTGACAGAGCCAGGATGCCCAGGACCATACACCCCGAAGTCAGATTAGGACATCATCCCAGGGTTGACACCACATTGGAGGCCATGCCCTGCTTAATAATAATAAAAATAAGAGCATTTGCTCTGCATCAGGCTCTGCTGGGAGCCTTTGACATGTAATAATTCCTTTTTTTTTTTTTTAAGATTTTTATTTATTTATTTGACAGAGAGAGAGAGACAGTGAGAGAGGGAACACAAGCAGGGGGAGTGGGAGAGGGAGAAGCAGGCTTCCCGCCGAGCAGGGAGCCCGATGCGGGGCTCGATCCCAGGACCCTGAGATCATGACCTGAGCCGAAGGCAGTCGCTTAACCAACTGAGCCACCCAGGCGCCCCATGAAATGTAATAATTCCTTAATTTTCAAAACAGCCCTACGAGGGAGTTTAATATCATCATCATTTTACAGACCAGAAAACTGAGGCACAGAGGAACTCACGACTTATCCAAAGTCACGGAGCTGAAGAGACACGGAGCTGGGATTCGGAGCCAGCCAGCCTAGCTGCAGACTCTGCACTTCTAACCACATCGCGTGTTGGGTGTGCAAGTGGGCGAGCCTGGGGTCGTGACGGGGGTGCCCGTATGTGCTCTGGTCATTCCAAATCGGGTTGTCTGCCGTTTACCTGGGGACCTTCTCCCCATCTCTGAGACTCAGCTTCCTCATCATTTCTACCTCCTGAGTTGAATGGACATAAAAGCAAAGTGCTGCCAGTCCTTCCAAAGCTGGAGATGGTCCCGGGACAATGTAGGGGGGAGGGCGGGGCCAGGAGGACGGACCGAGTGACTGGGGAGGTTGGAAGGTAGGGTTGGCTTCTCCTTCCACCCCCCGGTGGGGGGTAGGTCTCCTGAAGGGTTTGGGGCAAAAAAGCAGTTGGATTTGATTGTGTCTCTGCAAACATGCCTTCTGAGGACCCAATGAGGCGTAGTCCCAAACACAGGCTGAATGGGCTTTCTAGCTCCTTCTTGGACCTGTCACTCAAGCAGGAATCCTTGTTCAGGTATCTTTTTTTTTTTTTTTAAGATTTTATTTATTTATTTGAGAGGGAGAATGAAAGAGAGCATGAGAGGGGGGAGGATCAAAGGGAGAAGCAGACTCCCTGCTGAGTGGGGAGACTGATGCGGGACTTGATCCTGGGACTCCAGGATCATGACCTGAGCCGAAGGCAGTCGCTTAACCAACTGAGCCCCCCAGGCACCCTTCGTTCAGGTGTCTTAGCGGCCCTCTGCTGCACCCTGAGCAAGAGTAGAGCTTGGTCACCACGGAGGAAGAGCCCACTCTTGTTGGCAGTGTCCCTCCCTCCCCTTGGCCTGCCTCCCTCTTGCCAACCCACAGTTACCAGCTCCCGAGCGATTCTTGTCCCTCAAATAAACTTGGGACAGAAAGCAACAAGCGAGTGAAGATGCAAGCACAGAGCCCCCCAGCACAGTAACATTATGCTGTAAGGGCAGGGGACCAGAGATAGCTCTGTTCCCATCTCAGGTAAAGGCAGGTCAAAGGTTTTAGCAATCAGGGCTGGGTTCTGCTTAAAGCAGTTAAGGTAGGAACACTCTTTCTGGAACTCCGTAGCACCCAGTGAATGTTCAAACCCCTTTGCCTGGTGTTTAAGCTTCATCCCGACCAACGTGCTGCCCTACATGCCCATCAAATGGAACTGTGCTCACCTGTCCCCATTCATAGACCAGACTTTTCCATCTCCAACAGGTGTCTTTCCTCCGAATCCCTATGGGTCCAAATCCAGACCATCCTACAAAGTCCTTACACATGCCCCTTTGCTCAAAGCCCTCCTTGACTCCTTGGTGACATCATTTCTTATGTGTAGCTCTCATGGCATTGATCATTTCTCACCCATGTTGGAATTATTTGGCAATGTCCCCTAGCCTGGGCACTCCTGGAGAGCCACGGATCTGTAAACTCTCAGGAGTTCGGGGCCCTCCAGATTCACCTGCTTAGTGCATGAACTGTGTCCACACCACCTAGGCATCTGTCTGTCCTTCCTCTGTCTCCAGGTTTCTGGGAGCCCAGGGCAACCTGCTTCATGCAGGCCCCACCCCCCTACTCCGCCCCAGATTCTCCTGGTGGAGTGCACTAGTTACGGTCTTCACGAGCAAGGACGCTGAGGCACAGAGAGGTCCTGAGCTTTCCCACAGCCACACAGGTAGTAAATGGCAAGAATGGAACGTGAGCTTGGGCGGCCTGGCTCTTGACCAAGATACGCTACTCTCAACTCAGGAAGGCAGGTAACATACCCATCTCAGAAAGTTCTTCTGAAGATTCAGTGGAAACTCACTTTCTCCTCATCTAGTCTCTTGTCTCCAAGATTCCCGGGTTGATCCTCGCATCTCCAGCCACGAAATCTAGCACACAACAGGAGTGCGGCAATGGCTATTGAGTAAATTATTCGGGTTGTGCTCAAACTCAGCTCTTCACAGCACCTTGAAGTCCATGGAATCACTTTGAGCCTCCCAGGAATCTCAGAGGAAGACAGGACAGGGCCAACACACCCATTCTACAAATGAGGCACAGAGACATAAGTGACCACTGGGGACACATAGCTAGTGAGCAGGGCAGCTGAACCCAGGCACCGACGTCTCCTTGTGACAGCTCCGCTTGTCTGCTCTCATTTAAGCATCCCCACGTGGCTGCCTTTTTACTAGACACAGTATTCATTTCCTCAGGCTGCCTTAGCCAAGCACCCCAACCTGGGTGACATGAACACCAGAAACTTATGGTTTCATGGTTCTGGAGGCCAGAGGTCTGACATCAAGGGGTCGGCAGAGCTGTGGTCCCCCTGGAAACTCTAGCAGAGAATCCTTCCTTGCCTCTGCTAGCTTCCAGCATGTACGAGTGATCCTGGTGCTCCGTGGCCTGTGGCTGCATCGCTCCTGCCTCCCCTCCATCATCACGTGGTCTCTTCCCTGTGCGTATCTCTGTCTCTGTGTCTCTTCTTCTCTCTTACGAGGACACCAGTCATATTGGAGCAGAGACCCACCCTGCTCTAGTATGACCTCATCTCAGCCTCAGCTAATTACGTCTGCCATGACCCTCTTTCCAAATAAGGTCAATTCTGAGGTGCTGGGCTTTGAATTTCAGCCTATCCTCTGGGGGGCTCCAGTTCAGCCCATAACAGACACACTATTTTTAAAAAATTTTTATTGTTATGTTAATCACCATACATTACATCATTAGTTTCTGATGTAGTGTTCCATGATTCATTGTTTGTGCATAACACCCAGTGCTCCATGCAGAACGTTCCCTCCTTAATACCCATCACCAGGCTAACCCATCCTCCCACCCCCTTCCCCTCTAGAACCCTCAGTTT